AAAGAGATTTCAGCGTGGCCATCTCTTCTGGGGGGCGATTTCTCACTTTCCCCCTTCTGTCTCTCTCCTCTCTGGTGATTGTGACAAAAACGAAGAAAAAAATAAAATATCCTGTGTGCAGGAGCTGGGCTAAGGAGCTGTATTCTGTAAAACACGCACAGTTCTCAGAGGCAGTGGTGGTACTGGTACGTGGAGGTGCTAGAATTAGTAGTAGAGACGTGCTGGTCTGTTGTTTCCTGGCGCACCATCTGGATGTGGGTAGTTGCTGTGCCTCGGAAGTAGAGTGATGAGAAAAGCGAGGGAATTGTGATTTTTATTCATGTGTTCCTTCTGTTTACCGCGAATAGGAGAAACAACGGAACAAAGTCTAAAGTCTCCCCTCTCTGCAAAAACCCTCACTTTTTCTGTTTTTTGTTTGTTTTGTTTTGTTTTGCCCTGGGCTAAAGAGATTCTCAGATGGTTGCTGAGCTTAAGCAAAATGGCAGCATGGGAGAACCTCTGGCGGCAAACATTCTCAACCTAAGGTCTATATCTAGGGAGAGGTTTCTTTTCGAGGACTTCCTTGAAAAGAGAGGAGAAGTTAATATTTTGGAAATATTTGTTGCCAAAATCTAAATTCACAAGATATATTGGTTTGGGGCTAGCAGGTGGCGTGGTGATTAAAAGTGCTGGACTCCCATGTGGCTGACCACGGTGCAAGTCCCAGACCTGGTGGCTCGCTTTCTTACTTTCCCTCTCTCTCTTACTCTGTCTCTGATCAAACTGGAAAATAGTAATAATAAATAAAGTTAAATAACATTGTTCTTTAAAATATATATTGGTTCAATTTGCATAAAATGTTTAGGATCTGTTTAGACTGTTCATTAATTTATATATTCACTCACATATTGACAGTCCAAGAAAGCAAGAAACATTTTCTAAGTGCCTCTGATAAAGGAACCATATAAATGCTTAACTCATTGAGTTCTTAACTCATAATTAATATAAGATTATCAATAGCCACCAGAATTCTCCCACATCAGGCCCACATTTCTCTGATTTTCAAGTCATGCAGTCCCTGGATTCACCCTACCTATACAGACTTATTAGTAGACTTCAAAATGTTCACAGAAAAGTGGAATTAAATTATGAGTTTATTTTGGTGCAAAGTGTTATTTTGAAATCCATAAATAGTGTTTTTCTTAATATACGTTTTCTGTGAATTTTGAAGATGCCCCTCCCCCCGCCCGTGTCCCTCACTCTTGCAAAAGTTGCTTGCTTTGTTAGGCGAGCTGTCACTCTGCTTGCCTGGGTAGTATTGTGTATCATTTGTGTATTCATGCGCTATTTCAAGTTACCAGACTGTCAAAGACTGTTTTCCCAAGTTCTGAGTTCCTCCTGTCTAGTCCTTCCTTGTAGTGTTCAGTTAGTAATATTCATTGAACGAAAGGAAAACATTATGAAGAGGAGAACTATTGTCTATTCTTTATTTTTTAGAGAGATCTTTGCTATAAGGTGCATGCACTTGCCAGAGACAGAGAGGGAGAGAGAAAGTGAGAAATGGCCCTCCAGAGGGTATGGCCATGCCGCAATCCTTAATCCTTCATGCTCCTCTTGGAATTTTGGGCACTCACAGCCACCAGGTCGAGGACCTGAACCAGTCAGCTGTGTGGGATCTAGCTGACTTAACCACCATGCTGCTGGCTTGTTGTATTCTTTCTTTCTGACTTGCTAGAGGACATGTGTACTCACCCGAGAGAGACAGAGAAAGTGAGAAGGCACCCCAGGCGGGGTGTGGTCACATAGCAGTCCCTTCTCTTCCACCTCTCCTTCAGGCATGCACACATGCCCTGTAAGTTTCATGAAGCTGCTGGGTCCCGGACTGGAGTTGCATGGCCGGCCATGTGGGATCCAGCCACCTTAATCAGCACACCACAGGCCGGCCCTTCTGTTCTTGTATTTTTCCCAACATTCCTCTAATCTTTTAAGTTCTGTTTCTCCTAAAAGCCTCCTCTGACTACCCTTATGTTCAAGACACAGATCTCAAAAGTTTACATATTTTATAAGCTCTCTTGGTTGTGCGGTTCCATTTGCACCATTGTTCCAATTTGGTATAAGGTCTTTGACAAGGATCATGTGTCTGTATTTTGTGCATTGTAAATCGGCCTTTATTCCCTGAACCTTTACTGCTCTCCGTACCCCCTCCGTGGAGGCCTCTGTGCTCAGCACTGGCAGTAAACGTGCTTAGCATGAAGCTGCACACACAGTGCACGCTCAGTGGACTTTGGCTGATTATTCTTAACATCTGTAAAACATAAAGCAGTAGTGATCCAGTTTGCACGTAGGGAACATACAAGTTTTTATTTATTTATTTATTATCTCTTTGCTAATTTTCTCTAATGTTTTTTTATTTCAGGGAAGGAAACAGAAAAGGCCAAGGAGCGTTACGACAAAGCCACGATGAAGCTGCACGTGCTGCATAATCAGTACGTGCTGGCTCTGAGAGGGGCCCAGCTCCACCAGAGCCAGTACTACGACACCACGCTGCCCCAGCTTCTGGACTCCCTACAGAAGATGCAGGAAGAGATGATCAAAGCACTGTAAGAGACCCCCTCTCCCTCATGGGATCCCCTTATAAGATGATCTCAGCCGTTTTCTCTCCTAGACGTGCGCTGGCTTTGTTAGCTGCATTATTACCTCAGCCCGGTGGGTCTCTCCGACCCGCTTTACTTTGATCCTTCTTGAGTTCCACTTCTGATGTACTTTCATTTGTGCTCTTTTCCTGAACCTTCCATCTAGCCCCAAGAAAGGACTGTGTATATATATATAAATTTTTTTTTTTTCCCAGTTAGATGGAAAGTTAAATGAAAAAAAAAAAGCATTAGTTGACAAGCATTAAGAAGTAAATAGCGGGACCAGCAGTTAGCATAATGGCTGTGTCGCTGGACTCCCACGTAGTCGACCACAGTTCAAGTCCCAGACCCGGTGGCTTAAAGTCACGCCAGGCACGTGTGCATGCGTGCCCAAGATCCCGAGAGGAGAATGGAGGAGAGGGGATTGCGGCATGGTCATCCCCTCTGGGGCGTGATTTCTCGCTTTCTGTCTCTCTGTCTCTCTCTGTCTGTCTGGCGAGCACACGCGCCCTATAGCAAAAACCTCTCCAAAAAAAATAAATAAATAAATAAAAAGAAGTGAATAGCTACCTCTGGAGGATTGGACATTTAAATCTTGACAAATTGAAAAACCTCAAGGAAAGAGTTTTTTCAAAGGCTTATTTGCCAGCCTCTTGTTCTTCTTCTTCTTCTTCTTTTTTCCCTATATGAGATTAAACTCAGCAAATGTTTACTGAGGCTTTATTATATGCAAAGCACCCTGCCTGGCGTGCTGAGATACAAGATGAGCAGGAGACAGTTCTCACCTTCCAGGCTCCAACAGGAGTCCTCACCAGTAAGCCAGATGCAGCTGTTCACCCGCACGTGGACGGGAGAATGCTGGTCAGCCCTCTTTGGTGAACTTTCATCTCTTTTACTAGCTGTTTTAGTCATTTCCAAGTGCTTCAGTTGGTTTTCTTTGACTGAACATGTGAGTAAGGGGGACTCTTCAGTGTTGGAGTTCCCTTGGATGAGGAGCGGGGATGTGGAACAGGGAAAGGAAAGGTCTCAGGCAGGGGAGTTGGAGGATAACGGTCACCTCTTCCGTGGAGGCAAAGTTCTCCAGTCAGTAGTGAATTTAAAGAGTAGAACGTGGCCCAGGTAAGTGCAGGTTCTTGAACTCTAGTTAATTTATCAGTAATTACCAAACTAGCACATGAGGACCTAGGCTTAGTGTATTTGAAATGTAGCAGTAAATTAACACGAAAGAGGAGCGTGAGCATTTTCAGGTTACAGGAGGAAGCCTGGTGCTAACGTAACTAGTAGAAGTAACATGATCATTTCTGAAACGAAGTATTTCCTTTATACAATACTGTGGTTTGCAGAGCTCCTGGTGGGCATGAGCTGCCGATGCTCCCTTGCCTTACAGTATCCTGGAGAATTAGGAAGAGCAGGTCATGTCCAGGTGTCCGTGACAGACCAGTCAGAACTGACCCACAGTCACAGAGCGTGGGCACAGGTGGCAGATCTGGGGACTTGAAGCTAGGTCTCCTGACTCCGCGTTCTCTGTGAGAAGGAGTTAGTGGGTTGAATAGCATACCCGAATATTCGTGTGTACCTGACTCTCAGTATGTTACTTTATTTGGAAATAAGGAGCTTAAGATGTAGTTAAGGATCTCAAAATGAAATAATCCTGAACTTGGGGAGGTTTTAAACCTAAGGACCGCAATTCTTACAGAGAGGAAGGACACAAAGAAAACACCATGTGAAGAAAGAGGCAGAGGTAGGAATTAAGCTTCCATAAGTCAAGGAACACCAAAATCTGGAGATTTTTATTACATCAAAAATGGTTTTTTACTATAAAAACTTTGAAAGTCTTCCTAGATAATACATCATCTATTCTAATAATTATTCAGAAGTAGAAATGTTAAAAATAAATCCTAATATTGGAAGAAATGTTACCCTGTTTTTTTTTTTTTTTTTGGAGAGCCTTTTTTGCTATAGGGCACGTGTACTCACCAGAAAGAGAGAGACAGAAAGTGAGAGATCACCCCCCAGGGGGGATGGCCACGCCACAATCCCTTCTCCATTCTCCTCTCGGGAACTTGGGCACACACACACACACATGCACCTGGCGTGAGTTTAAGCCACTGAGTCTGGGACTCGAACTGTGTTCAACTACATGGGATTCCAGCGACATAGTCGTTACACTAGCTGCTGGTCCCCCCCTGATTTTTAAAAAAGATTGAATTATTTTAGTTTCTTTCTTTCTTTCTTTTTCTTTTTCTTTCTTTTTCTTTCTTTTTTTTTTTTTTTTGCTATACGGTGCATGTGCTCACCAGAGAGAGAGAGAGACAGAGAGACAGAGAGACAGAGAAAAGGAATGTAAGAAGTCACCCCCTAAGGGGAATGGCCACACAGAATCCCTTCCTTTCTCATCTTTGGATTGTGGGCACCCATGCACACATGCCCAGGCCTGGGATTAGAACTACACAATCAGTCATGTAGGACTCAGTTGCCTTAATCTTTGCACCACTTGCTGGTCCCCTACTTATCCCCTATTTATTTATTTTTAATTGCCAGAGGGCACATGAGCTTGCCAGAGAGAGAGGGAGAAAACACTCTCCCATAGGGTGCGTCATGCCTCAATCTGTTCCTTTTCTGTCCTTCTGGGATTTGAGGCACATGTGCACATGCACCTGATATATTTCTCAAGCCACCAGGGCTGGGACTTGAACTTGCTCTCGGTCAAGTGTAGTATGCCTCCCTTTAACCCCCAGGCCACGGGGACAGACTACTCTGATAGGAAGTGATCTTCATAAATGGCTTTGTGGGAACCAGCAGTTAGCGTAGTGGCTATGTTACTGGACTCCCACGTAGTTGACCGCGGTTCGCGTCCCAGACCCGGTGGCTTAAAACTCACACCAGGCACGTGTGCATTCGTGCCCAGGATCCCGAGAGGAGAATGGAGGAGAAGGGATTGCTATGTGACCATCCCCCCAGGGGGGTGGTTTCTCACTTTCTGTCTCTTTGTCTCTCTCTGTCTGGTGAGCGCACGTGCCCTATAGCGAAAACCTCTCCAAAAAATGAATGAATGAATGAATAAATAAATAAATAAATAAAGGGCTTCGTCATCTTTTTTGAAGGGCTCTCTAGTGTCATAGTAGCTTAAGTACATGTAGTTCACTTTTTAAAATGTTACTGCATTTACACACATTTCAGATCCATATTGTTCCCAATATTTCTTGGGCAAGAATGACTACCAGAGCCTCTGAAATTGGGGGATCAAATTTGTCTTTGCTGCCTTTTCTTTTGAAGAGAGGTTTTGGCTATACACTTGTACTTGCAGGAAAGACAGAGAGGGACAGAGAGACAGAAAGTGAGAAATCACCCCCCAGGGGGGTTAGCCACGCCGCAATCCCTTCTCCTCCATTCTCCTCTCGGGATCTTGGGTATGCACGCACACGCGCCCAGCGTGAGTTTAAGCCATCGAGTCTGGGACTTGAACAGCTTTCAACTATGTGGGAATCCAGTGATGTAACCATTACACCATCTGCTGGTCCCTTTTTGCTGCCTTTCATACTCTATTTGGCTTTACCTTCTCTTTATGTAAAAGTAGAAGATAAAAAGGTATATATTTCTGTATAGGTAAGACTAAGTTTTTGGTCAACTTCTATGTTCAGAATTAGATGACACAGTGTTTATAATCAACTTGGATATGCAAACTTCAGGGTTGTTAAGAAAGTGAAATATCTATTTAAAATATTTAATTCATAAATTTAGTTGCTTATCTCTAAGTTATATGTTATTATCAATTCTGTCTTTATTCATGATAGAGTACATGAACATGCATGAGATAGAAAGAGAAAGAGAGAGAGAATGAGAGAAGCACCCCCACAGGGTCTGGTCATGCCACAATCCCCTTCTTCTTGTCCTCTGGTTCAGGGGTCCCCAGCCCCTAGGCCATGGACCCGGCTCTTTCTGTGGCCCTATAAGAACCAGGCTGCACAGCCGGAGATGAGCAGCAAGAGAGTAAGTGAAGCTCCCTCTGTGTTTACAACCGCTCCCCTTCACTCATGACACCATGTGAGCTCTGCCTCCCGGTGGGTCAGCAAGGGCTTTGGGTACTCCCAGAAGCCCCCACATGGGACCATTAGGTGCAGGAAGATAAGCTCAGGGCCCACACTCACTCTGCATTGTGGTGAGCTATATAATTCCGTCATCATATAGTACAAGGCAGTAACAGAAATACAGTGCAAATGGATGTGCTCAAGCCACCCTAAATCATCCCCCAGCTAAACCGCACTCCCACCTGCTCCTAGTTTGTGGGAAAATTGCTTCCACAAAACCGGTCCCTTGCTGCGCTAGTCCTCCCGTCCTAGACACCCCTGGGCATGCCTGACTTGTCTCAGGCTGACTGGGTGGTGATTTTAACCATGGTCGCCTTGCAGGATCTGGCTTCTCGTGATGGGGCACTGCCACTGCACCACAGAGCTAGACTTAAACTACATATTATTGACTTATAAATATTTCCTTTCCTGTCATTTCATGAATCCATATTTTTGAAAACTATTTACAGAAATTTTTAGTAATACTGTCTTTATTGTTAATAGAACATCTTTTTGAGACATAATTTTCTACAGCATATTATCTTTACTTTTAATATATCACTTTAGATCTTCCGTTTTAAGAATCCAGGCATGATGATAGCACTGAAACAGAATTCTACGTGACACGTAGTGGCTCTTATAATACGAGGCGATCTCTCCCCACGTTTGTCTCAAAGGTGGATAACGATCTCTGTATCATGCCTGTTTGCTATATTGCTTATCTCAGTAGCCTCATTACATTCATAACTTCCACTTACGAGCTCAGATTCCCGGAATATTGACTAAATCTGTATTAAATTTCTTTGCTCCCCCTTTTTTCTTCAAATTGTGTTCTTCATGTGATTTCTGTAATCATTCAAAACTATCATTGCCTGAAGTAATTTACATTTTTTTCTTCACTCAAACAGTATTTGCCATTTAAATTAAAATAATTGAGAGACTTCTTCATAATAAAGGAACGTTTTAAAGAATGGGGACCAGCAGAGGCATAGCAGTTGCATCACTGGGCTCCCTCGTATCAACTGTGGTTCAAGTCCTGGACCTGCGGCTTGACCATCTTTCTGGGGGATGATTTCTTGCTTTCTGTCTCTCTGTCTCTGATGAGTGCATGTGCCCTTTAGCAAAAAGAATCTCTCAAAAAAGAAAAGAAAAAATAATAAAGAATGATTTTTTTATATAAGCGATGATTTTAGAAAGGAGACACCAAGTTTTATGTTTATTTGGGCATTTGCAGGATCACTTACTGACATTTGTATACTTGCTGTTGGAGCCCCTAATGGTCACTGGCATGTTTTTACAGCATAGCATTTTAAAGTAAAAATTTACTCTCTCTGACAGAAGAGTTTTTTTTTTTTTCCCCTTTTTGCATTCATTTGACCAGGCTAATAATGTGGGTATCATTTTTGCTACTGCACAAGGGTCAGGAGAAGAGATTTAGATGGCATTGAAGGTGCATAACCAGTCGAACTAAGTGGGTAGAAAAGCACAGAGGCCCTGGAGCAAGAGCGCTAAGAGGTTGGGCAGGCAGGAGTGGAAGCCACTGGGAAGGAGGACGGAAGACAAGCAAGCTCAGTAGAGCTCCCTGTTATGGAATCCCGCATCTCTCAGAGGATATTCAGAAAGAGAACGTTGTCAGCAATGGCCCTACATTTTAAACATATCAGATACACATGCAACAAGGTAATGCCTTGTTCTAGATCATTTGCAGGCCTTTAGTCATAGCGAGTGTAAATTGCTAATCACGCTCCTCTTCAGGAGTAGGGAATACGGTATGAATACCGTATGAAAGCACTCTGTAAATATTGACGTTATATATCTTATGTTGATCGTTCTGAATCCTTTCTTAGGTTTACGTTCTCCTGATGAAAGTTTAAAATGTTGTTCAATTTTATTTTTGTTTCAGAAAAGGTATATTTGATGAATACAGCCAGATCACCAGCCTTGTTACAGAGGAGATAGTGAATGTCCATAAAGAGATTCAGATGTCGGTTGAACAGATAGACCCTAGCACAGAATACAATAATTTCATAGATGTCCACAGGTATGGTATTTTTGTTCCTTTTCAAGGATTTCTGATACTGTGTTTTCCACCATATGATATTTAACCAAATAAATATTTGAGAGTCTATTAGGATGCAGGATATTTCAGATTCATCTGTCTGCTTTTAATTTTCAGTGTTGTCACTGATAATTACTTAATTTATATACCAATATGTCAAAGTTTGCTAGCTGTCAGAATATCATTTCCTAAATCTGTATTAGGTTCATGAAAAACCATCTGTTTTTTCTTTAAACTGACAAGGGCACATGCACTCACCAGAGAGAGACAGAGGAGAAATGGAGGGGGGGAGACAGCATGGGGGGTGGCCATATCTCAGTCTCTGCTCCATTTCTCCATCCTCCTGGGATTTGGACCCTGTGCGCACATGTGCCTGGCATGGTTTTTCAGAGCTGCTGTTCTAACGGAGGTTTGCCATGTGGGATCCGGCTCCCTCAACCACTAGGCTACAGGCCCAGCCCTCTAGTTTTGTAAAAACTATTTATATAATAACAGTACTTTGACTTTATATGTCTATTAAATTGATGCACCAGTTACTTCTCCGCTTGTTTTATATGCCCTACACTTGTGACAGGAATAAATCGGGTCATCGGCATCGTGCAGGTGAGGACGAAGTTCAGTTGACCTGACTAGATCTTTGACGCCTGGTTTAGTTTGATTTGTACCATTTCTGTTTACTTGGTTAGCGTAATTTTGGAGAAGAACAAATATTCTACCTTTGGTGTATTCTAAGATAATATTTTGGGAGTGCATTCATATTAATCAAAATTGTTTGGCATACTTCATTAGAACAACGGCTGCTAAAGAACAAGAAATTGAATTTGATACGTCCTTATTAGAAGAAAATGAAAATCTTCAGGCAAATGAGATCATGTGGAATAATTTAACAGCAGAAAGTTTGCAAGTAATGTAAGTATGTAGAAAATCGGAATAGTGCAAATATTAGTACAGTTGCTTTCTGATTAATAAAACTTAAAACACTTTTTTTTGGTAAGTGATTAAAAAGTAAATTAAGTTTGTTGGGCTATAATGACATGTTTTGAGAAATATGTTAATTTTACTCATTATCATCACTAATTTTGGTAATTCTGAAAATCAACATTCTGTGTGATGTTTCATTCATTTACTCAATTATTAACATCTTACATTAGAAGAACACTTTATTCTTTTCAGACTTTACTTCTATCTCATTTTATCCTCCCAACTTGATAGAATGATCTCGGAAATAAGCACATTGTTAGAGCTAAGAGAGTAGTTGATGTCAGAGCATTCAGTACAAACGTGGGCCTTGCGGATTTCTTTCTCCTGAAACTGGTGTAGCTCATGTAGGCCATTAAATCAGTTCGTTCTTCACTTTGTTGTTTCTGTTGCATAAAATTTTAAAGGAGTTTTGGGAAGTCTTAATGTGCTTAAGTATTTTTCAAAGATTGAAGGCAATTAATACATTTTTGAATTTAGAAAATAAGTAAGGCACTCTCTTTTAAATATTTAACCTGTCTCCTGAGTTTATTCTAGAAGCGTACAAGTATGTGCGTACAATGGTCGTTTAGTGATGCGTGTCTTTGTGTCAGAACCACAGCTAGATATAATTGTGTAGCATTCTCATTTCAATATTGGACACATTGTATCATCTCACTTTCTAGAACTTTACCTCAACTGATATGACCTCAACTGATTATCAAATAATTTAGCCATCTCCTCTCTGCGGTTTAATAGCATTGTCGAAATACAGATGATTAACTAAAGGAAGAACCAGGGATTAGATTTTAGAAGGTATTTAGGGTATTTAAAGCCGGTTAGCTAGGGTGAAAAAAAAAAACCTAACAAATGCTGAGCACAGATACCCTGGACAGGAGGAAGGCGTCCTCTGGGTAGTGGACCGACGACTGTGACAGAAAGGGAGGCCAGGGTCACGTGCCCTGGAGTTTGTTCTCGCAGCCCTACTGGGGTTCTTGAAGTTGTTCCCTCCGAGCTTTTTGTTTTGTTTGTTTGTTTTAAGCTTCTTTC